AGCCTAAAGCTGGGTTCTGGCACAGGGCAGTGCCTTGGAGGGGTCCTCCGGGACCCCTTCAACACAGGAGGGGCTTGTTGAAGCCGAGTTGCTCGGGAGCCCGTGCTGCAGGTCCTCTGGCACAGGGCAGTGCCTTGGAGGGGTCCCCTAGTGAGTGTACATTTGCGTTGGTGAGCTGTCAAAACCTACGGGGCTACCTTGGGGGTGCCGTGGTCTTCCCGTGGGTGTGCCCGTGGCTGGGGGAGCAGGCATGTGGTGGGTCCCAGCGTGGCCTGTGCTGACTGCCCTCCTGTGGCTTCTTGTCTTGCAGATTTCTCCACCCAGGTGAACTCGTCCCTCACCTCCCCGACAGGCCGAGGCTCCATGGCCGCCCCCTCGCTGCACCCGTCCCTGGGGCCTGGCATCGGCTCCCCAGGGCAGCTGCACTCCCCCATCAGCACCCTGAGCTCCCCCATCAATGGCATGGGCCCGCCCTTCTCCGTCATCAGTTCCCCCATGGGCCCGCACTCCATGTCGGTGCCCACCACACCCACCCTGGGCTTCAGCACTGGCAGCCCCCAGGTGAGTGTGGGGTTGGGGCAGGGGCAGGGGGTGGGGTGGGCCTGGGGTGGGGCCTGGGGCAGGGCTGTGGTTTCCCCCGCAGGGTGTCGCCTCATCTTGAGGCCTCTGGGAGGTAGGTGCTGAGATCTCCCCGCTTGATTTGGGAAACAGCCTTGGGGAGTTGCAGGCTGCAGGGGTCTGAGCCCAGGCGTGGCTGACTGCCAAGCCGGGCCTTTTGGATCATCAGCCAAGGTGCCTTGCAGCGGTCCTCTGCCCACGTGGCCCCTCCCATGCTGGAGGGCTGGGGGACTCTGTGTTTCTGTGCCGGGGGGGCTCAGCAGGGAGAGGCCTTAGCCTGCTTTCCCAAATGCCTGTGGCCACACAGCCTGGGTCCTCCCCTGAAGTCTGCTTACACTCAAGCCAAAGGGCCCCCAGGGAAGGCATGTTCAGGCTCAAGGCAGCTATGTCCCTCGCCAGGGACACCGGGCCTCCCGGGCCTTGGACCTGCAGTGGCTGGTGTGGCAGCGGTGCTCTGTGGTCTTGGCTCCACGTGGCTCTGTGGGTGCCTGGCCATCTGTGGGGCTTGGGGACCTTTTCCACAGTTGGGGTTTGCTCAGTTGCTTCTCCAGCTCAGCCTGGCCCTTTGGGCTGTTTCTGGATCAGGAAGGGCTGGTGCTGGCAGAGCCTGGCACAGTCCAGGTCTTGTCTTGTGGAACTTGGGGACCCCTCCTCCCTGGGGGAAGATACCCCAGTGTCTCTCGTGGAGTCGTCCCTAGCCCTGGGATCTCCTGTCTGTGAGGATGGAGGGCGAGGCTGGGCCTCCTCCCCTGGCCCCCCTCCCCTGGCCCCCAGTGATTGCTTGTGGATTTCCACCAGGCCCTCCCTCTCCAGGGGCTCCATCTGCCCTGCCCCAAATGGGGGGTTCTCCTTCCACTCTGGAATTTCTATGTTTGGGTTTAGCCCTTTGTCTAGCAGCTGAAGGCTCCATGGCAGAGTTTCGGTGCCATCTCAGGACAGCCCACCAGGGTGGGACTCGTCCTAGTAGCTTCTCTGCCCACAATCACACAGCTGACAGCGCCAGATGTGCCCTGTGGACTCCCAAGCCCTCTGCTGCCCCGCCTCAGTTTACCTAGGTCAGGCACTAGGCCCAAGGGATTACACGTGAGGGGGCCAGGAGGCAGCAGGTGGACATCTAGCCCTAAGCACCCATGCCACCTCCTGGACAGCTGAGGACTGCACCTGGTCCAGGCCTGCTGTGGTTGGGGTCTGGAGCCGGCCCACTGCCCATCTACCTGGCCCGTTTAGAGCTGGCCGTGGCCTCCTGAGCCCCTTTCCCCTGCAGAATCTTGCTGGCTTTCTGGGCCAACGCCATCAAAGTCCCTCTGCTCTGTGGGACGTATGCGGAAGAGCTGGGGTCCCTGCTTCGTGTCCCCCTCACCTCACCTGACCTTCCAAAAGCAGCCAGGAGGCCCAAGGTGCTGGCACAAGGGAGGCCTGGTTATGTCATTTTTAGCACCCCGGCCCTGCCCCTGCTGGCAGCACGGTGCCCTGTGGCGAGAGGGCGATGAAGACTTGGCTTCTGCTGTCCCTTGGCTCGCTGGCCAGCACCTGTGGGGTCCTCCCAGGCCTGTCGCCTGCCCCGGACACCCAGGAATCTAGTGCACAGTTGGTGCTCCCAGAAACCCAGGGGCGCCTGGTGCCCTCAGCACTGTTTGGCCCTTCTGGGGGAAGGGATGGGCTGCTCTCTGTTTTCTCCTGTGCAGCCAGGCCTCCGGCACACAGGAGGGGCTTGTTGAAGCCGAGTTGCTCTGGAGCCCGTGCTGCAGACCCCTTGACACTGGCGAGGGCCCCAGTGGGGGGCGGGTGAGGAGCCGACGCGGGCTGCCCCAGACGCCCCTGCCTGGCCGCTGCTGGCATCGGTCTGCTGGTCTCACCCGAAGTCAGTTTCCCTCGGTCTGAGGCCCATGCTTGACTTGGCACTGGTTCCCCAGAACCCATAGTTCCTTCCCCGGGGGCTAAGCCCAGCGTCAGGACCTCAGCAGTTTGTCTTGGAAAGCTGGGGTTCCTTGCATTTATGGGTGTGTGAGTAGGTTTTCAGGGGGGATGTGCCCCCACTCCCGGCCCCAGAACCACAACTGCAGAGTCAGAGTTGCTGGAGCCACAGAGGTGCTCTGACTTCTGCTGCTGTTGAGGAGGGCCAGGCACTCTGCCAGGCGCGGCCTTCTGCCTGCTCCAGTCCATGGCCAGGAAGGGCCTTCCACGTGGCCGCGTCCAGGCCACTTGACCCCTCCTGGCGTGGGAATAGGCGTTTGGGGGTGCTCGGGTAAAGCGGGGCCAGACTGCAGCTGCCTGGCCCCTGAGCCATCCCAAGTCCCCTCTGTGGTTTGGGGGGAACGTTCCCCACAGTGGCCCAGAGCCTGCCTGGCTGCAGCTGGCTCACTTGCACGTGTCACAGGTATTGGGGGAGTGAGTTGGCGCCAGCTTTCACGTAGAACACTTCCGAGTGCCCAGCGTGGTGCTGGACGTGCTCTCAAGGCCTCTGAGCTCCAGCAAAGCCTCCTGGCGGGAGGGCCTGCACGGGGCCTGTGGGGCTGTGATGTGTGCACGGAGGCTGGGTTGGCTTCACGGTGTTGGAAGCAGGGTGGCACCGGCGCCGGGCACCTGCCTGCCAGGGACTGAGGTCAGAGGGGAGCATGGAGAGGAGCTGGTTTGCTCCTGCCTTGGTGGACGGATGAGCCCCAGCAAGGCCGAGGGGTCTGCTCCTGGCCCAGAGTGGGCCTTCCCAGGTCGGGACTGGTGAGGGACCCTGCAGGGGCTCAGGAAGGAAGGGTGTGGTGGGTGTGGGGAGAGAGCCGAGAGATGGGCAGGAGACCTGGGTGTGGCATCGAGGCGGTGGGAACTGAAATGAGAGCCAAGGATCTGAAAGGGGAAATGGGGCAGCCCGCACCCTGGCCACGCACGGGGTCCTGATGCTCCAGCAAAGCACCGATGGCCGCCTGGCTTTCTGGGAGCCGGAGCAGGGGGTTCGGGAGGAGACCCTGGATAGCTGCGGTGCACTGCGGGAGGGACAGAGCAACGCAGGCCCTGGGGTGGCCCTGTGTTGCGCTCCTGGGGCTGTGAGCCAGCCCGAGGCCCAGCAGCCCTGGCTGGAAGGGCGGAGGAAGGCGCGCCTGGCCTCCTTGTCCCGGCACAGCCTCACCTCTGCAGCCTGGACCATCCTCTGGGTGAGCCCAGAGAAGCAAAGTGGGTATCTCCAGGGCCTGCAGCAAAATGGGCACCCCAGCCTGGCCTCCATGCCACTCCAGACATGCAGGGGCTCCCAGGCCCTGGGCTTACTGGGCTAGCCAGAGCCTGTGATCTGACTGAGGTCGGGGCAGCCAGGGATGCACTCTGAGTTCAGCCTGGGAGCTGGCTTGGCCACAACACTGAGGGGGGAGTGACCGTCTGCCATTCCATGCTGCCCGGAGCCCTTTCCCAGCCAGGGATGCTCTGGCGCTCCCTCAGTTTACCCAGGGCAGGGGCAAGGCCCAAGGGACTGCACGTGGGGGGCGGGAGGCAGCAGGTGGACACCTATGTACCTGGGGTGGCTTGGGGAAGCCTGGAAAGAGGACATCTGTGAGTTCCTCTCCTTGGGCCTGCAGTCATGGCCTGTGCTCTCCAGCCTCTGGCCCAGGGCCTCCTGCTCACACGCCTCGGTGCCTCTCCAGGGTGAGGGCACAAAGCGAGGTGTCTGACACTTCCTGCTTGTGGGCACTTTTGCTGCCCCCGTTTGGACCTCACCCTCGCCCCTGGCTGTTCCAAATTCTTTCCTTTTTTCAAACAAGCCATTTGCTTCCCCAGCTCTGAACACTGGCCTGGGAGGCCCACTGCCCGGGACACCCCTTTTTTCCTCCCAGGCCCTGGCCCGTCTCCACTGCAGCCACCGGCCACCCTGTAAGGCAGCGAGTTGCCTGCGAACTCTGCCCTGAGCAACTCAGTTACCCTCGCATCGGTGCTCAGAGGCCCTGGCCGGGCGCGGTGGCTCACGCCTGTAATCTCAGCACTTTGGGAGGCTGAGGCGGGAGGATTGCTTGAGCTCAGGAGTTGTAGACAGGCCTGGGCAACATAGTGAGACCCCATCACTACAAACAAACAAACAAAAATTAGCTGAGTGTGGTGGCATGAACCTGGAATCCAGCTACTGAAGAGTCTGAAGCAGGACGATGGATTGGGTACAGAATTTCGAGGCTGCGAGGACTGATTGTGCCACTACTCCAGCCTGGGCAGCAGAGTGAGACCCTGTTTTAGGGAAAAAAAGAAAAAAATTAGGCACTAACATCATTCCAGTGCTGCAGACGAGGAGGCAGGTCACAGTGATGAAATAATTTTCCCAAAGTCACGTGAGAACGGAGGAGGCTGAACCCAGAGCCAGGGGTCCGTGTCTGGGGCCTCCTCAGTGCCTTTAGCGAGGCAGTGACTAGACCATGAGCCTTGGAGGGCTGGGCAGGGCCTTGTCTCCTGGTGCCTCCCAGAACCCAGCACGGGGCAGGGCCGGCTGGGCACTGAGTCTGGGCAAGCTCCGTCCCTCTCGGGGTTTCACTTGCCCCTTTTGCAGCGTGTGGGGACCATGTGTGACCTGGGCCAGCCCCTGACCTCCCTGAGCTGCAGCCTCCGCATCTGGGGCCCCTGGGGTTTTCCATGCAGGGAGTTGTGAGTGTGTGTGCAAAGCTCGGGCACCGTGGCACTCAGCAAACGCTGGGGGCATTCTTTTGCCCTTCAGTTTCCTCCCTTCTCTGAGAAGCGCACCTGGTGCCCACGAACGTGAGCACTGGGCATTTGGCCAGTCACAGAGTGGCCACCTGGTTCTCCACACACCTTCTGGCACCCCCACTGTGCTGCGTTGTCACGGAGGGCCTCCTGGCTTCCTTCAGCCCACCTGAGGCCCACAGGGACCAAGCATCCTTGCAAAGCCTTGCAGCCCACCTGGGCAGACTGAAGAAGAACCTAGAAGCCTGAACAGGCTGGGGCTGGAAGAATCATTCCAGGCGCCGGGGCCCCTGTGAAAGGAGGCTTTCGGGTGGTTTCTGCTTTGCTTGCATTGAGCTTCAAACTCTTCCTGTCCCGTGAGAAGGGGGGATGGGATTTGGAGGCCTGAGGAAGGAAGGAGGGGAGCTTCCTGCGCACAGGCGGCGGCAGGGGTTTGCAGAAGTGGAGGCTGGGGGCTGGGGACCGCCTGGCTGAGTGCTCGCCGCCCTGCACAGCGGGCTGGCGGGCAGGATGCATCGGGAAGCGCCTGTGGGTCCCCTGCGCTGACTGCAGAGCTGGGTGGAGGCAGCGGAAGCAAAACTGCTGTGTCACTGCACGCGGCAGCTGTTGCCAGGGTGACCGGGTGAGTTTCCCACGCTTGCCCGGGCAGCAGTGTGCGGCCCGACGGGTGGGGTGGAGGGGTATGAGGAGAGGCCAGCAGTGTCGCGCCACCTGATGCCCGGGGGTGTGGCGTGATCCCCTCTCCTGTCACGTGACCAGAGCCCCCGTCCTGCGGTGTTGTGGGGTACATGTGTGGTTCTGGGGGGTCCCCAACCCTCCTCCATTCTGGGGACGGGGCCTCGGCGTCCTCATCTGTGGCTTGGGACCCCCCCGAGTGCCTGCCTTGTGGAGCATCCCGGAGCACTCAGCAGGGCTGGGCACTGCCAGGAGCTCAGTCATGAGAGGCAGCTCTCATTTAGGTGGGCAGTGGGCAGGGGGTGCTAGTAGGCAGCGTGTGTGTTGTGGGGGTGTCGGGGTCCTTTTCCACAGAGGCCTTGGGTCTGCTGTGCGCTTGTCCTGAGGTTGTCACAGCGTCTGCTAACCTGGCCGAGCACGCACAGCGGCCCTGCTGCTCCTGGGCAGTGTGGCGGATGGGGGCACAGCCCTGTCTAGCCTCGGTGCCTGTGTGAAGTGGGGGTATGCTGCACCATCCTTGCTGCAGGGCTGTGGGGGACGTGGGAGGAACCTGGTGTGTACCCCGCTGACCACTGTGGTTGCCCCCGCAGCTCAGCTCACCCATGAACCCCGTCAGCAGCAGCGAGGACATCAAGCCTCCCCTGGGCCTCAATGGCGTCCTCAAGGTCCCCGCCCACCCCTCAGGAAACATGGCATCCTTCACCAAGCACATCTGCGCCATCTGTGGGGACCGCTCCTCAGGTACGGCTGCTTTGGGAGCTGGGGGCCCGTGGGACAGTGCTGTCAGGCCACTGCAGGGTCCGGAGGCCTCCCCAACTCGCCCTCCTGTGGGCCAGGCAGGACCCCCAGATCAGGGTGCAGGGAGGTAGGTGCCTGGGCCATGTCCCAGTCATCCCACTGAGCTCCCTTCCAAAGTTCTCACATCTGTGGGACAGCGAGTGTTGGGTCGGCTGGGGCACAGGGCGGACCGAGGCTTCCAGAGAGGAGGCGGCTGCTGACGGCAAGGTCAGCATGGGGGCAGGCAGCGCTGCGCCTCCTCCCTTGGCTGGGTCTGGGCAAGGGGCTTATGCTGTGCCACTGACCCCCAACAGCCTGAGCGGGAAGCAGGATGCCCTCTTCCGGGCCGCACAGAGCAGCGGACTTTCCAGGGTCCCTGTCCCTGGGGGCCTGGGATTTGTCCCTGCCCCACTCCCGAGCTGTCCTCGGAGGAGCAGAGAGGGCAAGGCTGGGGCCCAGTCTGAGCCCAAGTAGGGGTCTGGAGACCAGCAGGCCCCTTCCCAAGGCCTGGCCAGCCAGCTGGCAGTGGGGGGGTGGGTTCCCCGCGGCTCGCTGGCTGCTCCCCAGCCCCGCCCTGTCCCCCCGCCCCCTGCAGGCAAGCACTACGGCGTGTACAGCTGTGAGGGCTGCAAGGGCTTCTTCAAGCGGACGGTGCGCAAGGACCTGACCTACACCTGCCGTGACAACAAGGACTGCCTGATTGACAAGCGGCAGCGGAACCGGTGCCAGTACTGCCGCTACCAGAAGTGCCTGGCCATGGGCATGAAGCGGGAAGGTAGGCCGCGGCGGGGCACGGGCAGGTGTTGGGCAAATGGGGGCCCGGGCTCCCCACGTGGACGCCCAAGATGGACGACGGAGTGAGCATCCCAGACAGAAACTCAGCAAGGCCTAGGGAGGAGTGGGGGCGGGGCCCTGGGTCCTGGTTTGCATGCACGTTTGGGGGTGTGCCTCGATTCCTCCCATCAGGTCCTGTGTCCTGGGCCTTATGGGGTGGGAGGTGCTGTCTTGGGTGAAGGTCTGCTGACCTGTCCCTGTCCCAGCTCTGCAGGACACCCTCCCTCTGTCCTCTGCTGTGCTGCTCCCACAGCCCCACATGTATGTGGTTGATGTGTCTTCCTTCCCGCCAGCCCCCGGGGGGGTCCCCAGGCAGGGTCCAAGCCACTGTCTCACACCAGGGATGTCCTGAGTGGGGACCTGGTGCTGCCGTTTCATTTCACCTTCTTCTGTGTGACCGTCTCAGCCTTAGGGGTCCTTGTTGAGAAGCCACAGCCTCTGCTAAGCCTTGTGCCCCTGTAGGGCTTCCTCTTTGGGCCTTGGGTCTAAAGTGGCATCCGGGCTGGCATTGGGTCTTGTGCGCGCAGCAGAGCTGCCTTCTGGGGCTGGTGTGGCCGTGCCCAGGGTTGCCAGTCAGGCCTTTCTGATGGGGAGGATGTTTCATGGAGGGCTGGCGTTTGGTCAGGCCCACCGTTGGCTGTGCAGGTTGGGAAACCGAGGCCAGAGGGTTTCAGTCTTGCTCAGGGTCACATGCCATCCAGACCTTGTTGCTTTCACCAGAGGGCAGAGGAGCGTGGGCCCATTCTGCAGAGGTGTGGGCCCAGCCTGGTTCTTCCAGGTGCCTGTGGTGGCAGGTATAGCTTTATCCCTGGAAGATGAAAACTGGGACGGGGCAGGCATGGTGGGCAGCGGCTAGGGCCACTGTGCCAGGTGTGGAGACGGTCCTGTTCTGGGGTAGAGAGGCCCAAGGCATAGCTGGAGCCAGGGAGAAGGCCTCCGCATGCAGCCTGAGCCTGGCTTACCTGGCGAGGATGCCACAGCACAGAGAGCTTGGTTGAGTTGAGACCACGCTCAGCAACGCCAGGCCTGGGCGTACAGCAGTGAGCTGGCTGTCCTTTGAAAGTGATTAGCAGATGACCAGAGGGGCCCCAGAGTACAGTCAGTGCAGGCTGAGGGGAAGTCGGGTGCTGTGGCAGCCGAGGGGAGGCACCTGACTCTGCCTCGGGTACCTGGCGGGACTTAGGCAGGCAGGAGGGCTGTCCCAGTTGATGCCTGAGGAATGGAAAGGTGTCCACAAGCCTGGCTGCAGGGAGCAGCGTCTGTGCAGTCTGAGACTGTCATCACAGCTGCCCTCCGAGGTCGGGGATGGCCTTTCAGTGTGGTGTGGCGTGTCTGTGGTGTATGGGTGTGGGTGTGGTGTGCGTCTCTGTGTATGGTGTGTGTCTGTGTGTTGTGGCATGTCTTTGTGTGTGCTGTGGCATGTCTTTGTGTGTGTGGTGTGTCTGTGTGGTGTGACGTGTGTGTGTGTGTCCGTGTGTGTTTGTGCATAGTTTATGCGCACGTGTGTGTGCATGGTTCTCAGGTTCTGATGCCCTGCGCTCATCGGAAGCCCTCTCCAGGCTGCACTGACTGCTTCCTAAAGCCCCACAGCCTAGTCATCTGTGTGGTTGGGATCATCAGACTCCTGCTGCCTGGGTCCCCCAAAGTGTGAGGCCAACACCCCATCCCATCCCAGTAGAACTGTGCAATGTTGGGGCTGGGGGGACCTGGAGTCACCTGGTCTGACCCTTCCTCTGGTGCCCATCGGTGACTGGGTCCTGTTACGAGCATGCCATGTGGGGGGCACCCTGGACACCCCCTTCCTGATCCCCACACATGGTCTCACTCACCCCATAACTCTGAGATAGAAAAATGGGGCGCAGAGAGGTGAGCCGTGGGGAGGTCCCAGGGCCAGCAGCAGGCATGGCCCGTTTCTGGCCACACGTGGTGTGGCATGTCTGTATGTGCCGGTGGAGGCGTCTGGTGCTTCTGGTCCTTCCTCTTGGCAGCGCACAGCCCTGGAGACCAGACTTACGGGCCGTGAGAGAAACAGCTGCTGCTGTCAAGGGACCCCCTCCCCTTTGCCTCCAGCAGGATTCTGTGTCGTGAACATGCATTCAGAACGCTGCCGAGCGCTCTCGCCCCAAACACAGCTGCAGAACTCAGCCTTGGCATGAAGGGTGCCTCTGCGTGGGCGGAGGGGGGGTGAGGCCCCCGTGCCAAATGTGCCCTGCTGCCAACGCCTCTCCTTGGGCACAGGGAAGTCTCTTATCTCCCCACCCTGGCTGTGTGGGCTGCACAGGAGCCTGTGGAGCTCCTTACCCTTGGGCAGTGTGATGGGGCCTCAGGTGCAGCCTAGGCACTCGCCCTGCAGGGACCCCACATGGGATCGGTGGCTGGGAGGGCTTGGGAGGCACCCTCCTCTCCCGCCTGCGTCTGGGTGCTGGACAAGACCCCTTGGCTCCAGATGAGTCCTGAAATGGAGAGCGCTTCACTCTCTCCTCTTGGGGCAAAGGACTGCAAGGTGGGCTCCCTGGCAGTGGAGGGCACGGCTGTGGGCTGCATGCGTGGGGCATGGCAGTAGCCCTGGGGAAAGCTATGGGGCCAGATTGGCCAACGCTAGGTGCCCGTGGCCCAAAGTGTGCATACAAGCTGTCTGCCTTCTCCCAGATCCCTTCCATCCTGCAGGATGGGTGCTGTCGGCACCACTCGGGGGGCTGAGCCCACCTAAGTGTTAGGCCCCTGGCAGGCTGCCACGCTGACTGGCCTTGAAGCCATGTGGCCCCTTGGCCTGGTTTGTGATCACACCCCTAGAAACTGAGGCTGATGCTGAGGTGTCGGGTCCCATTGCAGTGCTGCAAGGGAGTCGCCTGGGGTGGGTCCCAGGGCTGGCTGAAGGCAGGATGGCCCAGGTGCCTCTTGCAGTGACTCTGCCTCCAGCAAGGGCCCACTGTGGCTCTGGGGCAGGTGGGATCCCTACCCCTATGCTGAGGATGCCACAGGCTGATAGCATCTCGGGTTGGGCAATGGGGCCTGCATTCGCAGGCAGCCGCCAGGAGGGACTTGTTCTGCTGCATTCCCGGACCAGGGTGGGCAGAGGCTGGGGGACTAGTGTGATGGGTGTTGGCCCTCTGCCAAGCTGAGCTGGGCCTGTTTGCTGAAGCCGGGGGTGGCAGGGCTTCGGGGCCTGTAGGCACATGTGGTCTCATGGGGAAGGCAGGCCTTACCCTTGGGGGTTCCCAGTCTGATGGGAGAGGCCTGGCTTCCACTTGGCGGGGGACACTGGCCCAGATTAGAGGGGACAGTGCCTACCCCCCACTCTGCTTCCTCTTCCCCCAGGAAGGCTGCTCCCCATTTCCTTCCTGCCTGCCTTTGCTTCCTGTGCCCACCCCCCAGCTCGGAAGGACTGGGTGCAGAAACAGCAGTGTCTGGCATGTGCATGTGTGTGTGCATGTGTGTGTGAGTGCATGTGTGTGTGTGTGCACTGCAGGGACACAGCTGAACCACATGTCTCTGATGGGGAGGGAGCCCCGGCTGTGTGTGCATGTGAGTGCATGTGTGTGTGCATGTGTGTGAGTGCATGTGTGCACATGTGAATAGTGCATATGTGTGCATGTATGAGTGCACGTGTGCGCACATGTGTGTGCACATGTGTAAGTGCACGTGTGTGCATGTGGTGCATGTTTGCACATGTGATGCATTTGTGCATTTGTGCACCTGAGTGCATGTGCGTGGTGCATGTGTGCACGTGTGTGTGCATGTATGTGCGTGTGTGCACAAATGCACATGGTGCATGTGTGTGAGTGCATGTGTGCACGTGTGTGTGCCTGTGTGTGAGTGCACGTGTGTGTGCATGTGTGTGCACGTGTGTGAGCGCATTGCAGTGACACGACTGACTCATGTCTCTGTGGTGGGGAAGGAGCCCTGGCTGGGTGTGCACATGTGAGTGCATTGCAGGAACATGGCTGACCCACGTGTGTGTGCACGTGTGTGAGTGCAGTGCAGCGACATGGCTGACCCACGTGTGTGTGCACATGTGTGGAGTGCACTGCAGTGACACGGCTGACTCATGTCTCTGTGGTGGGGAGGGAGCCCTGGCTGGGTGTGCACATGTGAGTGCATTGCAGGAACATGGCTGACCCACGTGTGTGTGCACATGTGTGTGAGTGCAGTGCAGCGACACGGCTGACCCACGTGTGTGTGCACGTGTGGAGTGCACTGCAGTGACACGGCTGACTCTTCATGTGCGTGCCTATGTGTGGGAGCGTACTGCAGTGACACGGTTGACTACACGTCTCTGTGGTGGGGCAGGATTCCCGACTAGGTGTGCACATGTGTGTGAATGCACTGCAGGGACATGGCTGACCCCACATGTTTCTGTGGTGGGGAGGGAGCCCCGGCTGGGCTCAGGTGTGGCCCTCTTGCCATCTGGCCTGACACTGGGCAAGTGACCTTGCCTCGCCAGGTCCACAGATTCCTCATCTGTGACAGGCTGGGGGCATCAGGAAGACCCCTGTGAGCTTGGGGACAGAGCATGGCAGATGAGAGCACTGTGCGTGGGTGGTGATGGGGTTGGAGAGCAGTGGCCGTGTGTGTGTGTGTGTGTGTGTGTATGTGTGTGTGTGTGTGGTGTGTATGTGTAGTGTGGCATGTCTCTGTGTGTGTGTGTGTGTGTCTACATAGTTTTTATGCACATATGTGTGCATGGTTCTCATGTTCTGATGCCTCGCTCTGGGCTGAAGCCTTGAGGGAAGGTACGCCACTCCCTTTAGAGACTCTAGGTGGCTGTGTGGCCTCTGGCACTGCTCTCTGGGGCTCTGTCACCCCACCCTTAAGGGGAGGCCAGAGTGGTTCGGTGGAGTTCAGTCCTGCCTGTCTTGAGCCCAGCTCTGGGCCGTGCAAAGGACAGAGAAAGGGCTCGGCCATTGCCACTACCTGAGGCAGAGGAGCCAGCAGGGCTGGGGACGCCCTTGGGCCCCGAATCGCCTGCCTTCCCCCAGACCCCTTCCCTCCTGCTTGGCCCATAGGGGCTGTGGCGGGTCAGAGATGTCCCTTGCTTCTGAGGGGCCGCTGTACCCTGAGTCCTGGGCCAGCATGTCTCCTGATGCTGGGACCGCAGTGACGCCGGGGGCAGGGGTGCCTGCGCGGGGATCCAGCCGCGGCAGTGCGGGGGTCTCAGGTCTTCCTGGGAGGACTAGGCTGCGGCGTATGAACCTCCTCTGCCTCCGAGCAGCGCTCACTCAGGCTGGAGGGTGAAGAGGCCCTGTGTTTACAGACGCCTCCCGCCCGGCCTGCGGCGCCAGCGGAACATGAGTCAAGCGTGACTTCGTCTAGAAGGTGATTGTGCTGGCAAAGCATGAGTCCCGGCCCCTCCTGCCCCCAGCCTATAAATAAAGCGATCATATTTATAATGATGCTGGGCAGAGCTGCTGGGCCTTTCACAGCTTCAAAGTGCTTCACAAAACACTCGCTAATTAATTCTCGCCTGTCCTGGCAGAGGAGGCCGGTGCCAAGGAGCCCGGTTCCAGGCGCCTGGGGAGAACTGGCAGGAAGGCCCCTCGCTCAGGGCCACCCTCGTCTGGGGCTCCCTGTGCCCTGGGGCTACCTCTGAGCAGGAGAAAATCCCTGGCACTGGGCCGGGCTGGTGTGTGGGGTGGGAGGCTCTGGTGACAGCTCTGGGCACCTCCGGGCCCCCCGTGTGCTGGCGTTTCCCCTTGGCGCCGTCCTGGGGGTGGGCGCTGTCATTCTCCTCTTACGGATGAGGAAGCCGAGGCACCGAGAGGTCGGGGACTTGCCAGGGGCCACACGGCTGCTCGGGCTGTGACAGGCTCTGGGCTCCAGGACGGCAGCTTCAGGCTGCTCACTGTCTTGAGGGCTCAGCCTTGCCCCTTTGGTGCTCAGAGTCTCAGTTTCCCCACTGGAGAGACACCAGTGCCAACTGTGTCTTGGCACTGAAACTTCAGAATTCTGTCGTTGGTGCCCATCCTTAGGGTCTCAGGGACCTGGGCCAGTGGAGGTCCCTGGCCCTGTCCCTGTCAGCTCAGATGCTGGCTGAGACCCACCTGCGTGGGTGCCTCCTGCTGGGGATTGGGGTCGACTCTATTGGCTCAGGATTCTGTACAGAGGGTCCTGTGAGTAGTGACCCCGCCCCAGACGAGCGCTGCCCACTGGAGTGCTCATGAAGTCCCATGTGGGGGCTGCCAGACCCTCAATGTCTGCCTGTCAGCCGTGCCCCCCACCCTGCGCCCACCTGCCGTCAGGTTTCTAGTAGGGCCAGGCCTGTGTGCCGACTTCGGGGCCCCCGGCTGGCTCCTCCACCTGGTTGGTGCATCTTGAAGCTGGGGCTGGGCCTCCTGGCCCTGAGTCTCTCTGTGTGGGCGGAAGTCCCTCGCTCAGGCAGCGGGCAGCGGGCCGTGCAGGAAGCTGTTGGCACAGGGTAGCTGAGAGGCGTCCACGTGGGGCTGTTACAGAGCTCTGGCTGGCGTGAAGGGAACCACACAGAGCTGGGGACCCCGGGCCTGGGGGTGTGAAGTGGGGAGGGGCTTGCAGAGCCTGGAGAGTGCTGCTCAGCAGGAGCTGTGGCTTTAGGAGGAAGTGGCGGCTGACACCATGGCAGGTAGGGGCAGGGAGGGTGCCAGAGGCGCAGATACGCTCTCCTGCCCTTGTTCCTCCTGCTGTCCCTCACGTTTGCCAAAACCATCTGGAAGCCAGAGGGCGGGAGGGTGGGACGGGACATAGTCAGTCCATGGTGGCTAGTGCCTGGGAGAGCTCCAGGCTACCAGGTCTGTGTTCTGTCCACCACCAAGATGGCCTGGAGGGGCTGGGATGAGCCTCACCCAAGGCCCAGAAAGGTGGTAGCTCTAGGAACCCCCCTGCAGGCCATACCCTCGGGCCCTTAGAAAGGCCGTGTCCTAGGCCTCAGACCAGGAGGAGAAGGGGCCTGGATCAGGGACTGCTCAGCCCAGCACACTGGCAGGAGGGCACGAGGGAGGGAGGAATTGGCCCCAGGTCCGTGTCTGGGCTGGGAGGAGTAGGGCAGGAGGGGCATTTTCAGGGCAAGAGTGGAGAGGTTGACTGGGGGGGCGTGGAGCTGTGCCTCGCAGAACTGGCCTTGCGGCCCGGGTCCCGTTGCTTTTCTGTCTGCTGTTGACTCACTTGGACAAGTCACTTTATCTCCATGAGCCACAGTCTTCTCATCGGTACAGTGGGGTAATGCAGGTGCCCGCCCCGTGAGGCTGTTGGCTGGTGGACGAACAGAAGAGGGAGGAGGTGGTGGGGTTGGGACCGGAGCCCCAGCTCAGGCCTTGCGGGGAAGGGGGCATGTCTCGGGGGAAACAGCCCATGAGCCAAGTGGACGCTTCTGTCCAAGCTCCGTCTAGGTCGCGGCCTGCCCCCTGGCGCTTCTGGCAGGGGATGCCCAGATAGGCGGCAGAGGGGCTGAGGTGGCTCCCTCAGGGCCCAGAGTGGACAGTCCAGGAAGGCAAATCCAGGTGCGGGGAAGCGCAGGGCGGGAAGAGCCTCATGCGCCTGGGCAGCAGGGTTCATGCCCCAGGACTTTCGCTGAGCTCACCCCAGGGCCGATCAGAGTCAGCTGACCGGAGCCCACGTCTGAGCAGGGAGCGCGGCCGGGGATGCAGGTCCTGCTGCCTGCAGGCATTGCTGTGTTTTATCCTAATGCTTGGCCTCCGGTGCCCCATGAGTGGTTGCTTCCTGGGGCAGATGGAAAGGCATCCTTGCCGCTGCCTGGGACATGGCTGGTGGAGCTGGGGTGGCCGTCTCTGTGTGGCCAGGGTGGGGCCTGGTAGGTGCCTGCCCTCCATTTCTGGCAGGGCCCGGTGTTGGGAGGCGCCAGGGGTCTACAAGTGCACAGTTTCCTCCTTGTCCTGGTGGCTGTGAGCCTGTCACCCCTGGATATGCCCCTCAGCCCAGGCCCTCAGCCAGCATGGGTGCCCCCTCATGAGCATGTTCTGCTCTGCTTCTGGGCCTTTGCAGGGACCGTGTCTCCTGCATGAGCCATTATTCCTCTGCACCTGCCTCCAGTTGCATCGCCACCTCTTCCAGGAAGGCTTCCTGGTTCTCCCTGAGTCCACAGACCATCAGGGCCTTTCTTGCTGCGTGTTGAGGTTCCTGCTCCACGGTCTCCTGCCGGGTCCCAGGCAGGCTCCTGGTGTGAAAATTAACTGGAGTTAATGAGAGCTGGTCTCTGTTCTCAGAGCACAGCTACACGGAGGCCAGGCCTGGGGCAGAGATGGGGTCTCTATCACCCAGCCCTGGTGGGGATGCTGGTGTTGTGGGTGCACTGGCTGGGAGCTGGCACCACCTGACAGCCTTCCCTGGGAGCCGCTGGCTGGGCTGAGTGTGGGGCTGACCCCGCCTCCCGGGTTGTAGCCGTGCAGGAGGAGCGGCAGCGTGGCAAGGACCGGAACGAGAACGAGGTGGAGTCAACCAGCAGCGCCAACGAGGACATGCCCGTGGAGAGGATCCTGGAGGCCGAGCTGGCTGTGGAGCCCAAGACCGAGACCTACGTGGAGGCCAACGTGGGGCTAAACCCCAGCTCGGTGAGTTGCAGCCTGTGCAGGGGAGGGCAGCCTGCCTGCCTCAGTTTCCCTTACTCACCCACCTGAGCTGCTGCTGAGCCAGAGAGGTCCATCCTGGGGGCTGCCCTGGGCTCTGTGGCCACCTCAGCTTGGTCTCTTACCCGTGGCGACCCTGTGGGCCCCTCACCCCAGCTGGGCACCACTGTCCTCTCCTGGGCCATGCAGGGATGGCCCTCAGGCAAGGGACAGGGACCCTGTGGCTGCATCCTCCTCCTCTGCTGGGGCCTCAGCTACCGTGTCCCCTTGGGGTTTGGCCTCTATGGGCGCAGAGGCTGTCCCTGCTCCCTAGTGCCCCCTGGAAAATGTGTGGGAGGAGGCCAAGCCTCTGGCGAGAGGTTCTGCACGTTGGTTCCGGGGCTGTCTTTGCCAGCAGCTGTATGGCCCTGGGCAGGTACCCAGCAGTTGTGGTGGGTGCTCTTGAAGCAGGAAGTGGCTCTGCAGTCCCCCAGCTTGTGACCCCCATGCTATCCCTCCTGCCTGTTCCCACCCTGGACTGGCAGCCTCAAGGGGAGGCGGATGGGTGGGCCGCAGCCAGTGGGTGGGTCCCAGCGGAGTATTGGATTCGGACCCCCTGGCCTCACCCTCCCCGCCTTGGACCCTTCTTTGCCGCTGGCTCCCTCCCTGTGGCATCTTGACTTATGGCTGTGGCCTTGCCAGGGAGGGCATCACAGGTGCGTTCTCAGCCCCTTTTACCCTAAGGCCCAGGGACATGCGTGTTCTGGGAACCATTGCTCTCTGGTGGGCTGGCCTGGCTGGGAGATCCCACTTGTCCCGGGCTCTACTGAGGGGCTGGCTGCAGCTGTGCCCGGGGTTGGGCGGGTGAGCTCCTGGCCGCCTGAGTTAAAGTTCAGGACTTTGCATGAAGCTTCCTGCTGCTCTCAGGGACCGTGGTATCCAGACTTCATCTGTGTCTCTCTGTGGGTTTGGGGCTGGGACCAGAGCCCTGTGGTCACCTATGACCTTGTCCAGGCTGACCATGAGGTGGCCCTGACCTCTGTTCCTCTGTGGGCCCAGGCACAGCAGGCTGCCCTCCCTCAGTGCTGGGTGTGCTCTGCAGGTCACTGTCCCTGCCGCCCACCAGGGCCTTCCTGCTTGCTGCTCCCGTGGCCTGGAGCTGGGCCCTCTCGCTCTTCCTCAGGCTTTGGTCTCAGCTGAGATACCTCTGGCTTCTGTCTGTGCCCCCACCAGGGTGGGGACAGCCCCTGTGACGTGGGCTGAGAGCGCTTGCTCTTATCTCTGTGGCCCCTAGCACGAGCCATCACAGGGTGACGTGTGAGCGCAGGGCAAGGTGTGCGGTGGGTTAATGTCTGCTGCCCCCACGAGGCAGCTGGGGACGGCTGGGCTGCTCCTCGCCGCCAGCATCGGTCGGGGACAGCCACCCCGCCCCTGCTCCTTGGCACTCACATAGGGCCCACACCCCCACTGCCTCTGCCTGTCTGAGGGTGAGGGTCTGCTCTTGCCTGAAGCCCCGTGGCTGGGTTGGGGCTGCCCTGCCCCCCTGCCCTTTCTGGATAGGACAGCCCGGTGCCTTCTGCACGTCCTGGCTCTCCTCAGACCTCTACTCTGGCCGGGGGCTGGGGCTGCTGGGGAGAAGGCACATGGGACCCCGACAGTAGGCCCCTTCTTTCCAGAGAAACCCTCCCCGTGAGTGACTGGCGCAGGCCCACCCCAGCTGGGACACTGCACCATCCTGTCTGGTCTGTACATCTGCCCTGCCCTGCCCCATGCCCGCCTGTCCAGCCCCTCGGAGGGAGGGAGGGAGGGAGGGAAGGCGGCCCTGAGGGTTTCATGAGCCAGCAGAAAATCCAGAAGCAAGGTTGGCGTGTGCACCAGGGGCCGCCAGGTTTTCATTCTGTGGAGTAAGGACGTTATTTGGGAGAAAAGTCTGCCATCTGTTCTCTCTCTCATTGCATAAAAGTTCAGGGGGTTCAGAACGGCAGGGGCAGGCAGGACTTTCGGGGGATACAGGATGCGTCTCCGCAGGAATGTGTCTCTCCGTGCCCGCTCCTCTGTCTGATCTCACACTGAACGCTCCTCTGTGGACTGCTCTGGGTCTAACTTCCAGACCGCTCACTGGGCCCCTTCCCTCAGATGGGCAAACTGAGGTCAGAGAGGGGGCAACCTGCTGAGTGTCACGGTCCTGGTGCCCGGTTTCTCCCCAGCATGGGGCAGGGCCAAGGCCTCAGCCGGGGTAGGTCCTGTGGACACTTGCAGGCAGGAGTGGAGCCCGTCACACGCCTTCCATTACACGAGGTACGTTGGATCTCCAGGAGAGAATGGGAGGCTCACAGAGGTTAAGCCTTTCCCGAGGCCACACAGGGAGGTGGAGCTGGGCAGAGCTGGGAACCTGCATGGCCCTTCCCTCCCTGGGGGACCCCTCCAGGCCTGGCCCTGCTGTCATGGGAGCCAGAGCCTCATACCTGCTGGGCGTGTGCCTCCTTCTTTGCTCCAGCCTGCTGGCTTTTCAGCCGCCACACCCAGCTCCTGGTCGTGGCTGTGCCCGCTGCAGGCACATGACAGATGGTGACCCTGCATCCTCTCCTGCAGAGGCCCCATCAGGGCAGGAGGACTTGAGGCTCTTCTTCCCACCCATGGCAACTGCCTGTCACCTGGGCCTGCCCTGGGCCCTGTGTTGGCTTCCGAGAGTGGCCCGCCAGCAGCTAGGGAGTTCCCGGGTACAAGGCTCCCATGCAGAGCCACGTGCTGCAGACAAAGTGCTTGGGCTGTTTTCCCCACATCCCCCTCCCCTGCCAGGCCTGCGTGACCCTTTCTCAGGGATGCCCTGCAGGCGAGAAGGACCTGCCCCGTTCAGCCCCCAGTGAGACAGAAGGGGAGGCTGAGGCTGCGAAGCCGGGCCTGGCTGTGGCGGGCCTGGGGGGTGCTGGGCATAGAGGCTGGAGCCTGAGTGGCAGGACTGTGGACGTGCTGCTCATGGAAGGTTTGCGGTGGAATGAGTGAGTCTGAGACCTGTGTAGACTGTGGTGAACCCCTCTCAGCTAAAGAATCCTGCCCCTCTGTTCACCTCTTCAGGCTCAGGGCCCCGAGGGCTGTCCTGACCGCCACACCATTCATCTGGGGCCTTCCCACTCAGCCCATAGAGGCTCTTCCCACCGGGCACTGCGTTTAGGCTGCATACCTCTGACGAACGTGGTTTCTGTCAGTGGAAGCTCTTCAAAGAGAGACATTTTCTCCTTGGCGAATGCCCTGGAGTAAGGGGTCCCCGAATCCCATTCACAGTCATTCCTGCAGCCACACGGCCGAGGGGGCCGTCGTCTGAGTCCCCATTGCTCAGGACATAGAAGGTCCATGACCCAAGCCCCACCAGCCAGGAACTGGGGAGGGGCCTCCCCTCCTGCCCTGCTTCACGGCCACCTGGGTCCCCTCATCTGTGAGACTGAATTGCCTTCTTCTGGCTATGACTTGCCAATGGAGCTGGGAATGCCGCTCGCTCTCTGTGCCTGGGGCCTGGTGTCTCAGCCGAGACGCCTGCCCTCCTCAGTGCCCAACTCCATGTCTGGTAGAATAGGAGAGGCCAGCCCTATCCCCAGGGTGGGACACTGTGGCCATCAGAGATGAAGGGGGTCGGTCCCACCCAGCTCTGCCGCCCCCCCATATCTGGTTTTCCCAGCCCCCTGCACCTGCCTCCCAGAGATGCATGTCCTGCTGTCACCTAGCGGCTGGAAACGACACACATTTTATTATCTGACCACCCTGAGGTCGGAGAGCCAAATCAGTCTTGCTGGGCTGAAGTTGAGGTGTCTGTGGGCTGGCTCCTGGAGGCTACCACGGGGAGGCCGCCCCTGCGCTTGCCAGCTTCTGGTTCCCCCATATCCCTTGGCTCATGGCCTCTTCCTCCGCCTTCAAAGCCAGTAGCGTCTCCCTCAGGCCCTGGTGCCCGCGGTCGCATCTCCTCCTCTGCCCCTGCTGCCTCCCTCCCCTGGGCCCCTTGCAATGACTCTTGCAAGAGCAGCCGATGAGCAGCTCTTCACCCTGGTGGAGTGGGCCCGCAGTGCAGGTCCCTACACGCTGGGGCCCAGGTGCAGGCCCAGCTCCCAATCTAAGGCCACACCTAATGCCTCTCAAAGCCCTGTTTGCCGTGCAAGGCCGCACGTTCCCAGGTTCCGGGGATTAGGTGTGGGCATCTTTGGAGCTGTATTCGGCACCCCTCATGGGCCCGGCATGTGGGTGGGGCCTGGTCTGGGCTGTGTTCCGTCAGTACGTCGACTTCTGGGACTCAACGTGCTGCTCCTCTTCCTCCCCTTCAGCCGAACGACCCTGTCACCAACATCTGCCAAGCAGCCGACAAGCAGCTGTTCACCCTGGTGGAGTGGGCCAAGCGCATCCCGCACTTCTCAGAGCTGCCCCTGGACGACCAGGTCATCCTGCTGCGGGCAGGTGAGTGGCCGGCCCGGGCGGGGGCGGGGCAGGCGTGAGGACGGGACGCGCCTTGGAACACTCCCACCTCCTGGGACCAGCTGTGGACTATGTGGGACTGTTGGGGAAGGGCCTAGGGCCTCAGTTTCCCTCCTGCCCCCATACGGAGGGATGCCATTCGGGTCTCTCTGTATGGCCTTCAGAGAGGTGAAGGGCTGTCAGCAGAGGATGGGAAGCTCTGGAGAGGGAGGCTTGGTGTGTCTCAGGGGCTGCCCCGGAGGGCCACGCGCTCTCTGCCCTCTCCTCCCACTCCAAGGCCCTGTTTCCACGTGGGAATGCTGATGCACCCAGCCACGGCGCAGAAATGCCCGCTGCACGCTCGGCACGTGTCCTGTGATGGCAGCCAGACGGGGGCTGGGACCTCAGCTTTGGGGTTTTGGGGTCAGGTTGGCAGTGGGAGCCTGGGTGGGGCAGCGCCCTCTGAGCTGGTCCCCCACCTGAAAAGGGGGTGTGAGGGGCATCCGGCCTGGGCTGGTCCTCACCAAGTTGTGGAGTAGCTGAGACCAGGCCCTTAGTGCAGGTCCCCGCTGGGGCAGCAACACGTTGGTGGCCCAGGTCTGCCCGCAGTGCCCTCCCAGCAGCGACAGTGGTGCTGGCTGCTGTCTCATGTGCCCCTGGGCCCAAGAGGCCAAGCTCCCTTAGGGCCGGGTGTCCCAGCTGCCTGGAGTTCTGCAGCTGCACTGCAGGCCCCGTCCTCAGCCTGACCAGGGAGCCTCGGCCCATACAAGGCGACTCCTCAACAACAAATGGAGAAGACACACCAAACAGAGACGGGGCTCCCTGTGAAGCAGGGAACGTTCTGGAAGCTGCTTGGGTCAGGGCTGGGACCACACAGGCTGTCTGTGGAGGGCCTGGTGCCGCTGCCTCCTCCTTTAAGGACTCTTACGGCCATATTGGGGCCCCCGGATCAGCCTGGATAATCTCTCATCTCAAAACTCTTGACTTAATCCTGCTGGCCTGGCATCGGGTGGGTCCTTGCCCCCCTGGGCCTCAGGCATGTGGGTGTCTGCTGTTGTGGGCTCAGACTTCTTTCAGGGTATGGCGAGGGTTCCAGGTGCCCTCGTTTGCAGGGGCTCCCCCAGAGCCCTTGGTTCAGAGCCCCTGGCTTTGCCAGCTGCACGCCTGCCTGACTGCAGTGGTCTTTGTAGAGATACCCCAGGCCTTTGCAGAGAGAGAACGGTGCCCCCATTCCCAACCCACCCGTCAGACCCAGAGAATGGCTGGTCACACGCAGCTCTTTTCCTGGGGGGTCTCCCGGTGGTTGTGCACTGGGGCCGGGCAGAGGTCTGAGTCGGGTTGGGCGGCTGTGTCTGTAACAGTATCTCCGTGACGCCTGGCCCTGCTGTCCCATGTTCTGGCAGCTTCTGGCTCCAACCTTGGCCTGCATGGGGTGATCGTGGTGGAGTGTAATCAGGTGGGGGCTCCCCATGAGGCCCATCCCTCAGCCTACAGCCCTGGTGCTCCGAATCCCTGGTCCCTTCTAGGGTCCCTAGGAAGCTACCCTGTGACATCCCTTCGAGAGTGGCCTCTGCTCCTGCCCAGCAGCTTTTTCCGGGATATCTTTACTGCTCCTTGTCTCTGGGTGGGTCTTTCCAGCCTGGCCTCCCCCTGGTCCCCACTGAGGTCCTTGCTGACCTGTCTCCAGTGTGCCCTGCTCCTGTGTGGTGCCGGCTTCTAGGCACATGGTAAGGTCTGGAGCTGCACTTCTGACATGAGTCCCCCCCGCTGCCTGTGAGCATTGACCTTGACCAAGTCATTTACTGTCTGCGCCTCAGCATCCTGTGTGTTCTGTCTGCTGGGGTTGGGAGCTTACCCACCAGGCGGTCTCCCCAAGCCCCTTAAGGTCCACTGAGGGACACATCCAGCCTAGATGTGGAGCATGGGAGTTTGAAGCCTGCACTGGCCCGGTGGCTGGAGAGGACCTGGGTCAGCCCCAAGGATACACCGTGCCCAGCTGGTGTTGACTGGAGGGCTCTGTCCCCTCCAGGGGACTCAGGTCAGGGTCCGTGGCTGTAGCCTGGCTGGGGGCTGGGGCAGCCCTGCTGGGTTTTCCTCTGTGTAGGAGGCAGTGGCAGAGGTGAGCCCCGCCCAGCCCTGGTAGGGGCAGGCGTGCGCTGGGTGCTCCCCCATTATGTCCCTCCTGCTGGGCCCTCCCACTGCGTCCCCAGTGCTGGTGGGGAGGTGGCTTCCGCTGAGCGGTAGCAGCAATGGGAACAGTGGTAGCAGCAATGGGAACGGGTGCCCATGCCTGGGATTCCCACCATCGTGAGAGCCATTGGCCATCCAGGTTCAAGGCCCAGGGTCTCTGCTCACCCTGGGAGTGTCCACCTGTGGCTCTTGGTGTCACTGAGTGGGGGCAGTGGCCACAGCCATGCAGGGGCCCGGAAACTGTCGGAGGATTCCAGCTGGGCTGTGGGCAGCTGGCGTCACATGCGTCTGCTCCTGTGGGGTGGGCCCCTTCCTTGGGGTGGGTTCCTGCCCCACTTGTCCAGGCTGCCTTCAGAAGTAAAGCATCCAAATGAATAGCTTTGGCTTGTTCATGGAAGCTCCGAGTCACACCCTGGCCCTTGAGTTTGTCAGATGAGGAAACCAGGCAGAGCCAGGTCGCTCACAGCTTTCAGGCTCCTCTGTCCAGCCCCTTCCTCCCACCTGCCCCCTCATCCCAGGCTCTTGGTTCTGAGGCCCCATTAGCTGCTCTAACAGGGTTTTCTGAGGGCCTGGGCTGCACAGGCACCTCTTGCTGCTGGGGGGAGGGAGGGATGGGACGGGTGGGGCCGGGCCTTGCTGGGCCGGGAGGGAGGGAGAGGCCAGGCTTTTGTGGCAGCCCAAGGTCCCCTGTGGGGACAGCACACCACTTTACTCCTCTGGTCTTGTTAATGCTGCCCACATCTCCTGTCTGGGGACACAGGAAGCCAGGCTGGGTTCTTCTGGTCACGGCCGCCCTGGGAGGGGGTCCCCATCATGAGCCCCATGGGTAAGGCAGCCGTGACCCTGAGGGGCCCTGCACTGCCTCCTGGGTGTGGACTCATTTAACTCTCCAGACAATCAGGCATAGCGGTTCTCACTGCCCCCTATGCCATGGAAGTGATGGCTCAGAGGTGAGACGGGAACCCGGTGAGCCAGCCCGAGGCCCTGGCTTCCCCACCTGACCCTCGACTCTGTGCACTTCCTACTGGAAGTGCTATCCAGCCCTGGGAGCCGTGGGTGGAGGGGTCCAGAGAGTCTGTGCTCTTGAGTGGGGTTCCAGGCATCCTGCACCCCGGCAGAGGCCACTGTTCTGGCTGGGAGGCCCCGGGCATGTGGGCAGGGCCGTGAGGGGTCTGTGGGCATTAGCTCCTCGGGCAGGGCCAGCCTCTTGAGGTGGAGGATGTAGTGACCAAGCGAGCAGCCCCAGGCCAGACTCCTTGTTTGCCCTGAGCTCGGAGCCTGGAGTAAGACCTGGTGTCTCCCGCGTCACTGAGGTCCACCTGAAAGGCCAGCATGCCCTGAGCCATTAAGAACTGTGGCCGATCCGCGCCCTCACATCGCCGGTTCCGATCTCTCCTTCGGACTGCGATGGCGCGCTTGGGAAGGTGAACACGCACCCCAAAGCCTCCTGTAAAGTGAGTTCCTCTGTTTCCCCTTACATCCGAGACGGAGGAGGGCCGCTTACAGAGGTGTGTGGGGCAGGAGAGGAGAAATACCTAGTGAGGACATCAGGTGGAGGGACGGGGACAGGGGAGCTGAGAGGCCGCCGGTGAGCCGGAGGGCGTGGGGAGAGACTCCCGCTGTTCTGTCTGTGTCTGGGCCCCCAACATGTATCCCATGCCGAGAGCCCCACCTCGGCTCAGCAGTACCTTCTGAACCCAGCTGCGCACCAGGCCCCTCCTGGGGATGCCAGAGTTTCAGAGGCGACTCCACCTCCTCCCTGCTGGGGCCTCACTGGCTCTCGGGGCAGTGGGAGGGAGGTGGCCACTGTCAAGTAAACCCCCAGGGCTGGAGGATTCCGGGGAGAGAGGCAGGCTCAAGAGGGCGGGACCGGCCAGGTATGGTTAGGTTTGGGGCCGGTTCTGCCCCAGCACAGCTCTCATCTTCAGCCCCCTGGGTCCCTGCCCTTGGCCTCAGGCTCTGTCCACACTGGGCCTGGTATGGGAAGGGAGGGAGAGCCCTTTTCCTCTCTGGGCCACAGATTCCCCACACGTCAGATTGAGGGGGTCTTCTAGATCAGAGTTCTCCCAAATGTGGTGCTACAGATGTTTCATGGGAAAAAAATGATTCTACGGTTAGGAAAACGTGTCTGTGCAGAGTGGAAGCTCCTTGGCTGCCGGCGTGGCTGAGCCCGGATGCCACAGCAACCTGCAGCCTTGGTGCAGAGGCTGGGTGTGTTTCCCAACCCCCCGCCCCAACCCCCCTCTTCTTACCCTCCCAACGCAATAGGCTGCCTGCTGCCGCCTAGCAGGGAGAGGGGATGCGTGGCAGGTGGGGAGGTGCCAGTCCTGTGTCTGTGGTGGTATTTCCATCAGATTGCCCGTGGTGCCATCTGCATCCCCCCACGGTGATGGGCAGAGAACCCACCGTCTGCCCTCATTTTGGTGGCACAGCCTGGGGCGAGTTGGGTACCATCACTGCCTGGTCTGTGTCAGCACACCTGGGCTAGGTGGCTTCGGGGGTGAGACCTCCCTCCTGGTGTCAGCGGATGACCCAGTTGTGAACTGGGGAGAATGCGGATGGTGACATCTGCCCTCGGGGTCCCCATGACGGGGTGGGCATGTGCCAGAAGGCCGGGCAGACTGAGCCGGTGCTGGCATGGTGCTCTCCACCAGCTTCTTGGTGACATTTACTGTCGTGCCTCAGTTTCCCCCCTGTAAAACAGGGTTAATGCTAGCTTCCAGGATTATAGTTGGGATTAGGTGGGAAATTCACCACAGTGTCGACCACAGAGCCTGGAGCCTCTGGAGTGCCCGAGGGGTGCGGAAGGTGCTAAAGGTGACTCTCTGACTGCGGGTGATACCGTGTCACCGTGACTACAGGAGCCACAAAAGCCGTAACACGCATGTGTGCGAGGGTCCCTGTTGCGGCTCTCTTCCTCCCTCATGCCTGCTCTGGTCTGTCTGCACTGGAGCCTCGTGTTGAGGGGCTGCTGTTTTCTAGCCGGCCTCCCGGGAACTCCCCAGAAGAGGCTGGGCTCTCGAGCACCTGCCTTCAGGTGGACGACCTGCTGTTCGGTGGTACTCCACTCAGTGCTTGTGGATCTCCCGGAGTGCGCTCCTGGAGCCTGCTGGCAGCTGTGGGAACATCCCTGGGTGCTCTTCCACGTGCCCTGTGGCAGGCGTGTCCTGCATGCACAGGAGGAAGCTTTGGTGGGCACATGAGTTTGTGGGCTCCTGGGTTCCGCAAAGCTCAAGGGACTTGGTGTGGGACTTCTCAGTGCCTTTCCTGTGCCGGTGTGTACTGTGGAAGAGGCATTCTCAGGAAGTTCTTTTCTGTGGACACTTCATGGGATTGGGGTTCCACATCCTGTCAGGAGGGGTCTGTGACATGCTGCCTCTGGGGGGGAGTCCCAGCAGGGCCTGGGAAGTGGGGAGGCCTGTGGCGTGGGGACAGCTGAGTGACCGTGTGCCTCCTCCCCAGGCTGGAACGAGCTGCTCATCGCCTCCTTCTCCCACCGCTCCATCGCCGTGAAGGACGGGATCCTCCTGGCCACCGGGCTGCACGTCCACCGGAACAGTGCCCACAGCGCAGGGGTGGGCGCCATCTTTGACAGGTGGGGGTGGTCCCAGGAGGGGCGATGGTGCTTCGGTCACCTCCACTGCCCGCCAGGCCAGCAGAGTCCGGCCACCTCGGCCCTGTGCACCACCTGCCTAGTATTATTTCAGGTCATGGAGGGTGCCCATGTGGAAAACAGAAAGCATGAGGAGGTGGCTTGGAGCCCCGTGCCAGTCCAGCCCTGGGCATCTAGACCACAGGGAGCGCTTCGCCTGTTTCCCTCCTGCTCTTCTTTTTCACGATCCCACGGATTTATCCGCGGGAAGGAAGCTTGCTTTCTTTTTGGAGTGATTAGATCGTAGATGCAGTTTTGTAGAACTGTTGATTCCGGTTGGCACGTTGCAGGCTGTTTGGGGCTGGCATGTTGCAGGGTGTTTGGGGCTGGCACGGTCGTGCTGGGGCAGCCCAGGAGGGCTTGCTGCGCTCCAGCGCCTATCCCCGTGCAGGCAGGGCTGTGGGGACCACCGCACTTCACACCTGCCAGCGGAGCACCAGTCGTACCTCAGCTGCTTCTCAGGGCCACCCTGGAGGGGCGGCGCTGCCTGGAGGGCACACCCTTGTCCCGGCCTGGTGGCCTGTGTCCATTCGTGGTGCCCTCCTGGAGCGCTGGCCCACGACGGTCCTTTGGGCGAGGTGGACAGGAGCTTCCTTTTCCCTGTCTCTGCAGTCTTTCTCCACGGGCTCAGGGAGCCCACCCAGACTGGGCCTCCCGGGGACTGGATGTCAGCTCAGCCAGCTGGGGCAGGAAGGCTGGCGAGGGGCGTTGGAGGGTCCCTTGGGCAGGGGTCTACAGCACAGGAGCAGTGAGAGGGGAGGAGCAGGCTGCCTGGAGAAGGTGGCCTCTGAGCATGAGAGCCCTGACGTTAGAGGTGGGCAGAGGCCAGGCCTTGGCACTCACAGGGGAATGAATGCACCAACAGCAGTGCCCCATGGGGCAGTTCAGGTCCCCAAGTCCTGCGGGTGTGCAAAAGCGTTTGTGGCCGCAGACGGTGGGGAAATGCTAGTTTAAATTGTGTGCTACAGGGGCTTGCTGCAGGACTTCTCAGGGCCTTTAAGAAAGCATACAGGAGAGTCCTCACGGGGGCTGCAGGGTGCCATGTTTATTGCCCACAGGAGCTTCTTTAGAGGGGTACTGGGGATGCGGCTTAGGGAAGTGAAGCCCCAGCCACCGTCTAGCTGACAGCTCCTTTGTTTGGCTGTTGGAGAGGTGACAGAGGCCTTGGGGTTACATTCTCTGGGGCCCCAGAGCAGTGACGACAGAGCCCCGCGTTTCCTTGCCTTTTGTGCGAGTGGAATACAGTCTTTGCCCTTGGTGGCCCAGAGCTTTTCCGTGTCCGCTGCAGTGTGTGCCCCTGCCTCAGAGCAGACATTGGGGTCCCTCCCAGCTCCTGTTCTGTCCCCCTCTATCCTCCAGGCTCCCTCAGATCTCCGAGGAACCAGCCAGGGCACTCCCCCTTCTGTAGACCCTCAGGGGCCCCCTTGGCCCACAGGGGAACGCCCAGACTCCTTAGGCGGCCCTCTAGGCCCCACCCGGCCATCTCCCTTTCCCCGCCGTGGCCCACCCTCACTTCCTGGTCAGCAGTCCAGCTTTGGAGTTGCTGGGCGGGCTGCTGAGGCTAGGGGGCCCAGGACACTGCAGAGAGGCCGGTGGGATTCGGAGTCTAGCTGCAGGGGCGGGCAGCTGAGTCCCATCTGAGAATGTCCCCAGAGGCTTTGGGGAGGGAGTTGGTGGGTTTTTTTCTCTAGTGACAAGAAGTGGAAATGCTTCCCTCTGGCAGCCCCCACCCAGGGAGACCAGGTCCTGGGGAAAGCTCTCTCTGGAGTGAAGGGAGCACTGGGGCTGTGCCACGGGCCGAGGCTTTGCCTCAGGCGGTGCTGGGTCCGCAGCTGAGGAGGGACAGCGGTGGGTCTCGCTGGGCTCAGGAGTGGACCCTGCCCCAAGTGCCGCCCTGGCTCACCTCGGCTTAGCTGTCACGAGGCCCTTCCTTAGCATCTAGGTTCCCAGAATAAAGCTTCACAGACAGACCCTAGAGGAAAAGGAGAGAAGCCCACCCTCTGGGCAGGGCTGGGCAGACCTGGCAGAGGTGGCACTTGGGCCTGGGTTCCTGCCCACTCCCGCTCTGGCTGTCTGGCAGCTCGTGCCTTGGCTTGGCCCATCTCAGCCACCCTTGGGCCACACTGGGCTCCCAGAGGCCTTGGGTGTCTGGGGTGGGGCCCTGGTGAGGGCCACGGCCTAACGGGGATGGGGTGTCTGCCCTCTGCTGCAGGGTGCTGACGGAGCTTGTGTCCAAGATGCGGGACATGCAGATGGACAAGACGGAGCTGGGCTGCCTGCGCGCCATCGTCCTCTTCAACCCCGGTATGGCCTTCCTGCCTCGCGGCTCCTGGCCCCGTTCTCCGGTGGGGCGGGGGCACCTGGGCCGCCTCCGGTCCGCACCTCTTGCTGTGGCTGCGCGTGGGGCCAGCTCCCACCCTCCCTGAGCTCAGCGGGTTCCCGTCCCAGCCAGTGTGGCCACTTTTCTGGGGCTGCTCTGCCTTCTGCTCACAGGGGGCCCAGCAAGGCACTTGTTTTCAGGGGCTTGGTAGTGCCTCTGGGCTCTGCCTTGGCAGTGTCCACCATTGTGCGTGGGAATCCAGACTCTGCAGTGGCCGGCTGTGGTGTGACCTTCCGGTGCTCAAGTTCAGGAGCTCCAGGCCCTGCAGGCTGGCGATCGGGATGGGTCAGGTCTGCCGGGTGTTCTGGAGGGGACCAGCCTCATCCCTGAGCCTCGGGTCCAGGGTGCTTCCGGGGCTGGGCCCCTGCGGTTGAGGACAGCAGGGCTGGGGACTTGGGGCTGGGGGCCTGGGGTGGGCGCAGGCCTCTTGGCCGACAGTGCTGCCCTTCTCCAGACTCTGGGTTCTCTGCTCTAAAAGCCTCCTAAGTGTTAGTCCTTCACCCAGCAAGTGCTAACACATGCCTGTTTGCCTGGCATCCTGCCGTGCATGGGAGGGCTCCTTCAGGCTGCTGGGTAGGGCCTGCCCGCCCAGGGCTCCAGGTTCAGAGGGTCACGCCCACCAGCAGGTGTCCCCAGGCATATAATCCTGTCAGCATGGAGGCTGAGTCATACCTGGCCCCAGGAATCCCCACTCAGGTCCCGTGTGGCCTGATTGCCAGAGTTGGGATACCAGCAGGACCTAGGCCTGGGCTTGTAGGGAGGGTGAGGAGACATGAGCATTGACTGGCATGAGCAGGGCCTGGGCACAGGCTTGCAGGGAGGGTGAGAAGCCTGGCTGGAGCTGAGGCAGCCGGGGGAGCCAGACACGTTGCCAAGGAGCCCCAGGACCCGGGCCAAAGTGGCACTCACGGGGGTCCCTGGGCCTTGGAGGTGTTGGTGGCTGCAATCCCAGACTGTTTGCTCTAGGCTCGTGACCCCGGGGCCTGAGCTCAGCGCTCTCCAGCATCCTGAGGGTGGGTTTCCGCAGGCTCCGGGTGCTCCTGGGGCGGCATTGGTGGCTCCCATCTGTATTATGGGGCTGGGACCCAAGGGTAACAGAGGCGTCCATTGTCAGTCCCTGCAGCAGCTGGAAGGCAGCAGGTTCCGGACACGAGTCTCTGGAGGGCGAATGATTGACCCAAGGTCACATGGCTGGCAAGCGGCAGAGCCGGGCTTGGGCCCAGAGCAGCCTGGCCTGGCCTCGGGTTCCACAGTCGCCCCCTGCCGTTGGGCCCTGGGGTCGTGTCCTGTGGCATCGCTCACACCACCTGCTCTGCCTGTATCGGGGCAGCCTGGGAGACCCCACGCAGGCCCGGGTCCTGGGGGCAGGTGCCCGGGACGCGCCCCAGCTGAGGGTTCTGACCTGCGGCCTCTCCTCCTTTCAGACTCCAAGGGGCTCTCGAACCCAGCCGAGGTGGAGGCGCTGAGGGAGAAGGTCTACGCGTCCCTGGAGGCCTACTGCAAACAGAAGTACCCAGAGCAGCCGGGAAGGTGGGCCCCGCCCCCCGCAGACCCCAGACCCGGGCTCTTGTCTCCAGAGCCCCCACCCTCTGCAAGACTGTTTTATGTGAACGAGAAGGTGGCAGCCTCTCCCGGCCAGTGGGCCGTGGCAGGTGTGACCCACAGGTTCATACTGTGTGTATCCCTGCCGGAAGGATTACCTCGGACCTGGCGTGTAGTAGGTGCTTGTCTTTCTCGAGTAGGTAGATGCAGGCTGTGCTTCACCCCCCACCCACTCCCCTGCCAAGCAGGACCACCAGAGGCCAGGCGACACCAGCACACAGTAGGTACTTCACAAGCATGTGTAGCCTAGATGGCCTGATGTCCACACATAATCAACGTTCTCTACGAGTGTGTACAGAATAGGTGGTCATGGCCCCCTTGAGGAGTTCATTCCCCCCACGCCTGACAGAGGGCCCCAGAAGGGCTGGGAGCCTCTCATCTCTGAGTCCACGTTGCTGGGTGAGCAGTAGGTGTCCAGGAAGAGAAACTTGTGGATTCCTGGGATTCAGAGTCAGCTGTCCACATTCTGCCCCTTCTCTCTAAAAAGGCTTCTCGTGGCCTTGATCCTCAGACTGTGGGCGAGGGGTAGGGTGAGGGGGGCCCCCAGACCCGTAGGACACCCAGGCCCTGGCGCCACCGGCACGTACATGGTTAACCGTGTCCCTGATGCCTGCTCGGCCCTCATCTGGCTGGGTTTAAAGTGAAACTTCCCCGAGGACGAGGACAGGAGGGGGTGGCAGGCGGCTTGTTTTTCCTGGCTTTCTGCCGTGGCCCATCTCGCCAGCTCAGCAGAAAACAGCTTGTTCTCTGGCCCCACTCCAGCCTCTGCGCTGTTTTTGCCTTTAAAACAAGAACTGTGAGGCAGCCAACCACAGAGCTTTTCCCCGAAATAAAGACTTCGTTAATAATTAATGAGGTTCTGCAGCCCCTGGTGGGGCTGCGTGGAGAGACCCAGGCGGTGCACAGGGGCCCTGGGGCAGACATGGGCAGCTGGGAGGGACACCTGACGCCGTCACCACGGCACCCTGTCCTCTGTGGCAGCTGCTGACCTTGTGCCTGGCTCTCTGCACCTCTTCCCAGAGCCTCAGACTTCTCCCCTGCCTCCGCACTGGTCCCTGCCCCAGGAAACTCCCCAGGGGTGGGCCGGGCCCTGAGGAGCAACCCATGGTCCTTCCCTCCCCGCCAGCCTTCCCTGACCATGCTGTGCCCAACGTCGGCACAGCTGTTTCTGTTGAAGAGGTGGCCCTTGGTCTGGGGCCCGCCGCCCTGCACGAGGTGTGGTGGGGAGGTGTGGTGGGGTGCTGACGTTTTATGGGAAGGGGCTTGCCTGGCATGCGGCTCCCGGGTCAGGCCTGGCTCCCCCTGCAGTGGGGGCACAGCCTGAACACCACCCCCCATGCCCTTTGCCTTCTTGGTTGCCCATCCAGCACCCAGCCCGTTCCTGCCACTCACCAGCTGTCTGGCTGGGACGGCTGCAGTGGCCAGAGGCATCGCTGACACGTCCACTCCTGCAGCTCTCCCCTGCTGCAAATCCCACTGATGGTCCCCACGGCCCACACTTTTTCGTTTTTTAGGACACAGTCTTGCTCTGTGGCCCAGGCTGGAGTGCAGTGGTGACGTGGTAGTTCACTGCAGCCTCCACCGCCGGCTCTCAAGCGGGCCTCCCTGCAGGCGTGCACCGCCACGCCCAGCTACTTTCTTTCTCTTTCTGTTGTGTAGACACACGGTCTCACTGTGTCGCCCAGGCTGGTCTCGAACTCCTGGGCTCCAGCTGTCCTCCCACCTTGGCCTCTCAAAGTGCTGAGATGACAAGTGTGAGCTACCCAGCTGCCCACAGTGGTTAACTCCTTTACTGAAGCTCTTCAGCGGCCCCCACCCGCCGCTGTCTGGCCCCGCCCCTCCTCTCTGTCTTCGGCCCCGGCCCCGGCCCTGGGGATCTCCCTTCACTCTCCTGGATCTGGCTGCTGCCGCCTGATTCCTTTTGGCCTCCCCTCCTTCCTTCTGGGGGCTTGGCACAGGCAGGCCCTGGGCTACAGACCAGCTTCAGGGGGGTTGGGCTGTCAGACACAGCCCCGTCCCCAGGGAGGCCTCCAGTTGCCACGGCAGGACTGCCCATGCCCCTTGCCCGGCCCTCACTGGACCCCTTCCCTGCAGGTTTGCCAAGCTCTTGCTCCGCCTGCCGGCTCTGCGCTCCATTGGGCTCAAGTGCCTGGAACATCTCTTCTTCTTCAAGCTCATTGGGGACACGCCCATCGACACCTTCCTCATGGAGATGCTGGAAGCCCCACACCAAATGACTTAGGCCTGCGGGACCGTCCTTCGCGCCCGCCCGGTCCGGCCACCCCGCCTGGACGCAGCTGCTCTTCTCAGCCTGAGCCCTGTCCCTGCCCTTCTCTGCCTGGCCTGTTTGGACTTTGGGGTGCAGCCTGTCACTGCTCTGCCTAAGAGATGTGTTGTCACCTCCTTCTTTCTGTTACTACTTGTCTGTGGCCCAGGGCAGTGGCTTTCCTGAGGCGGCAGCCTGAGTGGCAAGAACTAGAGTTAGCCCGGCCAGGCGCCTCCCCACCGGGCTCTCAGGACATCCTGCCACACCCCATGGGGCTTGGGTGGCTCACAGGGGTCTCCCGGCTCCGGGCCCTGGAGCTGCAGGAGTTGGGAATGGGGCCTCGGTTTCCATTGCTGTTGATCGTTGCTGGTTTTCAGAATTCCCGTGTGGCCCTCCTGTCTGGAGTGACGTCTTCGCCTGCTCTGACTACCGGTGCCCCGCCTGCCCATGACAGCTCCCCCTAACCAGGAGGAGGGGACAGCTGGGGGCACAGGCTGGCGTGTCATCAGCCAAGACCTCAGCTGCCTCGGGGACGAGAGGGGCCAGCGGGCTGCCCTGTGCTGTGAGTGAAGGCAAAGCAGCGTCTTTTTCCAAAGATAACTCGCGGTGTTGCCCTCGAGCCAACGAGAATATGAGCCGACCTCCGTGCAGGGTTTCGGGGCCGCCTCCAGGCTGCAGGGACGGGTGTCACTCACCCCCCCGGTCTTCTCTCTGCCTTGGTGTCCTGGCTTCAGACTCCCCCTTCCTGTTGAGACCGGAGTGCCTCGGTCCGTCCCCAGCCTGAGTCTTCTCTTCGCTCTGCCAGGTGGGCGAGGCCTGTCCTTGGTTCCTGCGGAGCTGGCCCTGGCTGGGCAGGGTGGGGCATCACCACGTCCCTGGCCTTGCTGGAAGCACAGGGCCCTGCTGTCCTGCAGCCGTCTGTGAGGCCCGCGTGGACGGGAGGGGAGGGGGCAGGTGGCCTGGAGAGAGGGGTTCAGGAACTGGGGCCTCGTGGCCTAGAGCGGCTCTGCAGGGGCATTGGTGGGACCCTCACTCAGGCCTTCTCTCCGCTACCAGTGTGTCTAAGACTTGGAACCTGAGAACCCTGAGTCGTAGTGCCCTTGGTCCTGGGCCACACGCAGGCCCTGGTGGGACCACCCAGCCCGGTGGTGTCCAGAGACAGCGTGCTCACCCAGAGCCTTACTTGGGAGCCTCACTGAACGCCCGCTCCGGTTGAAGGTGGGGGGCTGAGGGCCTCCCCGACTCAGCCCCGTGTGGCCCGGCGCTCCACCCCCAGGTTCTCCCCCGTCCAGTGGTGCAGGGCTCTCTCAGGTTGAACTCGCCTCTTTTGCACTGGAAGGCCCTTCCTTTGGCCTGAGTCCTTTTCCTGTTCACGCCTCAGTCCCGTGGACCCAGCCTTTGTCAGTAGCAGGTGCCTGAACAGCAGATGGGTGGGGGGATGCAGGAGGGGGCCTTGTCTTCCCAGCAGCAGTCTAGGAATGGAGCGGGGGAGTAGGCGTCTTCTCCAAAGGCTTTCCCCACCTGGAGCAGGGGAGTGTGGGCTGCCCCAGCAGGGGCTCCTCGGTGGGGAGGGGAGCTGCCTGGGGGGTTGGGCCGGGAGGCAGTGGCTCAGGGGCAGCGTTCCAGCCTTGGTTGGGAGGAGTGTCCATTCTTTGCCTTCCTGGAGCTTCCAGCCAGAGCTGAGCTGAGGGACTGGGTGGAGCCTGCAGCTGAGTCTGCCCGAGACAGAGACTGTTCAGAGATTCCAGAAGCCTCTCATTCCCGCCCCCCTCCACCCCCGCCTTTTAGTGGCGTGGATCCCCAGAGGTGCCCTCTGTCCAGCCACCATCCTGAGGCAGAGTGGCGAGCCTCACACCTGTAACAGGCCCCTGGCCAGCTGGGTCCCTCCCAGGCACTGCCGGGTGCTCTGGGGCCCAATGGTGGGAGTGTGAGAGACCCCATACCAACACCCGGTGCCTTCTGCAGCCAGTGCCCATCCGTGTGCACCCCGACACTTGGGAATGCCCGCGGCTCCAGAGGAAGAAGCCCAGGGCCGGGGCCTCGTTTTCGGGGGCTCGGCTGCTTCTTGGCAGTCTTGCCGTTTCCAGCTCTGGCTGGCTGGCTGTAAAGCACTGAGGCCCGCCCCGGGCTGCCAACCCCTGAAAGCAGAACCCTGGCCTCCCTGGCCCCTGCAGCCTTCTCCACCAGCCCTCGTGGCCTGGGTTCTTCCTGCAGCCTTCCCCCCAGCCCACGTGGCCTGGGTTCTTCCTGCAGCCTTCCTGCCCCTTCTCATCAGCCTTGTACAACCAGTGCTGTTGGTTTGGAAAGGTCACGCGTGAGGAGTGTGGCTCGTTACTCAGTGGAGAGGTAGAGTTTCTATTTATCCAGACCTGCAGTAGTATTACCAATCTGGTTCAATTAAGGTGATTTTTTGGTAATTATTATTTTGGTGGGACAATCTTTAATTTTCTAAAGATAGCACTAACATCAGCTCATTAGCCACCTGTGCCTGTCCCCGGCTTGGCCCGGCTGGATGAAGCGGCTTCCCCACAGGCCCCCGCTTCGCAGTGGCTGCTTCCTGGGCCACAAGGGCACCCCGGCGCCTTCAGGCGAGCTCCTCAGCTGGTCACCTCCTTGCTTTGCCTTCCGATGGGGCTCCTGAGGCTGAGGAGTGAAGATGCCGCAGAGCTGGGCCACCCTAGGCTTCGTCGGGTGTGTTCTGGAAGCTGGCCTGCTGGGACCCTCCACCCTGGGGCCTGTGTCAGCCACCGGTCCTCTGCACCCTGGAAGCACACGGGCTCTGGGAAAGACAGCCCTGACCTTCGGTGTTCCAAGTCACGGTGTTCCCCAAGAATTCCGGGCTGGCGGCCTAATGGCCGTGCTGGAGAAGACCCTGAGCCTTTCCCCGTGGGGCACCCAGGAGGGCCTGGCCAGTGTGTGCAGCCTGTGGGTGGCCGGCTGACGTCCCTGCCGTGCTCAGGGTGTCACCTGGTGCCCATCCATACAGGTGTGTGGTGTAACATGTATGTGCTGTACAGACGTGTGGAGAGAGCCGCGCACCAGGGCCACGGAGAGGCGGAGCAGTTACCAATGTTTCATGTTTATTTTTAATCAAGACGTTTCCCGTTTTCCTATAAATTTGCTTAGTGTAAGCAAGTACATAAGGACCCTCCTTTGGTGAAATCCGGGTTCGAATGAATATCTCAAGGCAGGAGATGCATCTATTTTAAGATGCTTTGGAGCAGACAGCTTTAGCCGTTCCCAATCCTTAGCAATGCCTTAGCTGGGACGCATAGCTAATACTTTAGAGAGGATGACGGATACATAAGAGAGTAACGATAGGAGAAAATGTCTAAAGCTTCTGGAAAGGTAAAAAAAAAAAAATCTATTTTTGTACAAATGTAATTTTATCCCTCATGTATACTTGGATATGGCGGGGGGAGGGCTGGGACTGTTTTGTTTCTGCTTCTAGAGATTGATGTGAACGCTTCCTCCGAGAGACGCCAGGGCAGGCGGTGGCAGAGGAGAGGGCCCCTGTGACAGCGGCGAGGCTTGGGAGGAAACCACCACTGGGGGCATCTTCCTTGGGGACGGGAGGGTGGGCCTGAGGCTTTCAAGGGTTTTCTTCCCCTTTTGAGTAATTTTTAAAGCCTTGCTCTGTTGTGTCCTGTGGCCGTGACTGAAACGGCTTCCCCATGCGATCGTCTGAAACGTGGCGGCCGCAGGTGCTGGGGCCTGATGGACAGTGGCATAGAATTGTGGAAAAGAAACACCCAAAGGGAGACACGTGAGAGAAGAAACAAAATATGAGTGTTTAAAATACATCGCCGTTCAGTTCTTGTTTGTTCTGCCTGAGGACTTTTTTGTTTGGAGCGGGAGGGCCTGTGGTCAGCCCCCACCAGCCCACCCTCCTCCCCACCAGGTCCTGTGGGCCGTGCTCTGAAGAGTTCTGTCCCTGCTCGCTGGGCTCTGCTGCTCCTCCCAGGGGCCGGGAACCGGGGCCTCCATGAGGGCGCCTGTCAGCAGCCAGGGGCACCGGGCCTGTGGGCGCCTGCACAGCCCGAGTATTCTCACCTGTCCGCCCCGGGCTGCCAGAGACACATGCCTCTGCAGCCATGCTGGCCCAGGTCAGCAGGAGGTGCACCCGGAGGCTGAGGGAACACATGATGTCACCCAATGGCTCCAATAATAACAGGTTAATGCTGCCCCGTATGCACGTCTCCTGTGATAAGTGCCCTCTGTCTCCATGCTGTCTGGGTCTAGTCTTGAACCCTCTCATGCACCTGTGTCCAGCTGGGCACCCTCCCCGGGAGGCACCAGACACACTGAAGATGGGGAGTGGGGCCTCGAGGGTCCAGGTCCTGCCCTGTGGTGGTGGGCACAGGGCAGTGTGACCTGTGTCCAGAGCAGGGGTGACTCCCAGGTGAGACTCAAGATGGAACGGCCTGCTGCCTGAAGGACACACATGCATTTACACACTTGCATACTCACACAGGCAGACATGCTCACGTGCACCCTCAAACCCATTCATACACATGGACACATACATTCACACGCTCACACGCACACTTTGGCATGCACGCCCATGCTCAATCCGCATGCATATCCATACACACTCCCCTGCACACACCCATACATGCTCTCATGTGCACACTCCTACACCCTTGCACACCCACCCACACACGCTGTCATGTGTACACACACCCTTGCACACACCCATACATGCTCATGTGCGCTCATACACCCTTGCACACACCCATACACGCTCATGTGCACACTCACACCCTTGCACACACACGCTTTCATGTGCGCACATACACCCTTGCACACACCCATACACACTCGTGCACACTCACCCTCGCACACACCCCCATACAGGCTCTCATGTGCACACACATACCTTTGCGTGCACTTATACACGCTCATGTGTACACATACACCCTTGCACATACACCCATACACGCTCGTGACATACACCTTTGCACACATACCCATACACGCTCTCATGTGCATGCTCATACACCCTTGCACACACCCATACACCCTCATGTGTACACACACACCCTTGCACACACACCCATACATGCTCTCATGTGCACACACCCATACACCCTCTCATGTGTACACACACACCCTTGCACACACCCATACACACTCATGT